AACAGGGGCACTAGCTCTTCTCACACGCTCTTCTTTCAAAAGGAGATAATAATCCTTACCCAGCCTTGCAATAAGGCTATCAGAGTTCAGTGAGATAAAAATGTCGAGGTGCTTTGACACCTGTAAAGTGCCACACGCATGCAAATTACCGTTATTATTCTTATTAGCTCTCCCTCAGCTGGTCAGAGCTCATCATCTGGGCCTACCTTCCTTGACAAAATAGACACAAAATCTACAATCATTATCCGCCTCCCTCTTGCAATTACTGCGCCAATTTTACTCTGTCTGGTGTGAGATATTCAGGTTTGTGGCCCCCTGACAGCTGTGTGCGTCCTGTAGCGCATGTCCACCCCTCTTCACATCCCTCACTAGGGAAGTCTGAACTTAGGCTGTTTGGTTCACGCCAGAAGGAGCAAGCGACACTACAGAAGCTGCCTAAACTTGTTTTCTTCCCCCTGCATATTTAGTACAGAAATTTGAACTAGTGAGAGGCCTCAGCTGGTAAAAGTACTTGGTGCCAAGCATGATGAACTGAGTTTGATCCCTGGGACTCACCACACACACACACACACACACACACACACACACACACACCGAGAGAATAAAAATATGTAACTGGAAAGTTTAAGAACAAAGACTAGCCAAGGAGCAGCTGGAATCCTCCTTGGCTCCACTCTCCTGGCGCTCTTTGCCCCCTGCATCCCACTGCTCTGCTTCACCTCATTTCCTCAGCCGGCCGGGAGGCCACCAGGCCCGGGCTGGAAAACACTTACCCACTCACTAGCTTGCAGGTGCTTTTTACGACGGTCTCTTTCATCTCTAGGTTTCTAACGTCTATCCCTATCTTGGCACAAAGTACAATCTTAATAAACATCTGTCGAAGACAAAAGAATAAATGAATGTATAATCCCATAGATCAGTACGTGCCTCGTATGAGTGATGTCCTTATGCTTTTAGAGTCCTCAGCATGGATTCTCCAGGGGATGGAAAGGAAAGGGAAGCCAAGACAGTCAGACCGCCGTTTACTGAACACTGACTGTGTGCTGGACACACAGCCAGACTCAAACAGTGCTCCCTTATTCAATTCTGTACAAGTACTGAAATAAATGACCGTCTGTGGGGAGGGTGAGAGGTTATGTCCTATCAAAAAGGGTTGTTTTCCAGGCTAAGTTCATAAAGAAGGAACCAATGGTCCTTTATGAGGAATGGTCAAGTCACTCCCCTGTGGGTGACAAAGAAGAGTGCTAAAGAAAGCCATGGGGAGAGGGGGAGGTCCTGAGAGAAACACACTGGGCCAGTGTAACCTTGCTTCTTAATTAGCAACGTCCTACATCCAGTCAGCTCTTACCCAGCCCCAAGACTCCACGCTGTTGAGAGCCCTTCCCATCAGCCACATCTGACATTTCCAGAGAAGGAATGAAAGAAGAATGAACAAACATAGAAACAAAGAAGTGTATCACCCAGCCAAGCCTGAGACCACTCACTCCTGCCATCCTGTTGTTCCCTGTTCCCTTCAGTGTATGCACCTCCATTACAACTTCTGGCTGTCAAGGAATCTGAGCCCCAAGCCTGAAGCTATCAGGTTACTGCTTCCCAGCCTTCCCCCACCTACCCTTGAGCCCCACATTACCAGTAATCCTCCCACGTGGGGAGAAGTCATCTTAAAACACATCTCCTGAACTATCGGCCAATCTGATTTCCAAATTACCTGTCAGGGTGTAAATGATCCAGCACCCAATGTGGACAAAGGACCTCAAGCTGGGAGCCTAGGGGAGGAAGGTAAGATCTCCAAGAGCAAGACGAAAGCCAGGCCTGAAACCAAGCCAGGCCTCAGAAGGCCTGCGGAACTGAGGCCCCGCCAGGGTCCGTCACTTTCTCGCTCTTCTCCTCTGCCCTGGTTCTGGGTAGTGTTTATAGCATAACTCTTTTCCCAGAATCGGGGGAGCAGGGAGGATGGCTCAAAATGTGGGACCCTTCCCTACAACTGGAAACTCTGCATTTTAGTTAGAGGTTTACACATTTACCTCTAACCCCACCCTCTGTCCACCGCGCAATGTTTTTTGCCTTCTTTTATCTCCTCCCCATGTCCACAGGCTTGGAAAGTATCCGATGGTGTTACTGAATGATCAAATGAAGAAAGACGCAGACAACTATAACTCATCCTACCCTCTGCTGTCAAAGACAATGAGAAGCAGAGACACTGGCTAACCCGCCTAAAGTCTCAGGCCCAATTACTGACTGGCAGAGCCAGCTTTAAAACCCAAAACAGACCCTATCGTGGCTCCTCTTCCAAGTGATGTAGAAGAAGAGTAACTAGGAGTACCTGAGCATCGACCGAGTACCAGACACTGTGCTGTGCGTCCCAAAGCTGCAAGGGGGGCTGACAAGAACCCATTTTAAGAAGTGTAATATTGAGGTTCAGAAAGTTGCTGGCTGACTAGATTGCACCTCACTCTTCCTAACCACTTACACCTGCCTGCATAGAAACTCACTTTTCAAGCCTAGTCTTTTTTCCCTTCAGGCGGGTTTATCAGTCTTCCAAAAATCGAGTGTCTTATCTCTGCTGTCCACAGCCCCCTGTGCATGAGATCCTCAAGAGCAGAAAGCAAGATGTACATGGATGTATGCATGTGTGTGCATGCATCAGTGTTTTATATGTGTGAGTGTTGTGTGTGTGTGTGCGTTTGTGTGTGAGTGTACATTCCAAATATATGAGACTGCTACTCACCACTAGGCACAATGCCTGACGCAGGAGGAGACTGGTAAGTACTGGTGAAGGGAACCAGGAAAGGAGAAAAGAGGTTAGAAAGGAAGGAAAAGAAAAAGAAAGGACAGAATTTTTCAAAGACAGAATTAGAACGTAGGAAAGTCAGAATTCGAACCCAGGCCTGTAGGCGCCAATAAAACAATGCAACCTTACAGGCAGAGACCCTTTGATTATTAAAGACCATGTAGATTTGTCTTAGCGTCAATTAACACATGTTAATGAATGCAGTTTACGTGTTCCTAGATGGAGTAATGTATGTTATTTCCAGGAAGTCTGTTGTCCTCAGAGTACCAGGCTCTGCATGTCGCCACGGTGGAAGCCACATCTATACTTGCTGCTGGAGTCTGTCTCATGGTGACAGGAACAGAGGCACATCAGAGAAGAGATGGCTACTGGCTATCATGATGACACACAAGTCCAGCAGGACGAGAAATCCTGGCAAGGCAGCAAGGGTTAGGGTTGACTGCCAAGTGTCTTAGGATGAACAGAGGCATCTGCCTACACAAGATGTGGTTTCCTACTGCCCAAGGACAGGGTGGTTTCTGGAGTCCAAACCCAGTTCACTACCATGCAAAACAAGTAACTTCCCCCAGGGGCTGAGCTAATGATGTGGAAAGAGTTTGCTGTTGGTGTGCTTCCCCATCCTTCTGAAGAAGTTCACAAAAGGCCCAGCACAATCAGAGTAAAAGCCATCCACCTGAAGGTCGGGAAACACATTTCCCCCTGAAAACGGAACTGTAGCCACAATGTCCATCTGCACTATAGCACCAACACTGCTTTCTTAAATTCTCACAGCTATGATGGCCCACTGAGATTTTACCGTAATAAACACCTGCGGAGGACCTGAAGGTCACATGTGACCTTTACTGCCACGGTGAACATATGAGCTGCGACAAAGTCAAGGTGAAGGCAGAGCTTCTGGCCATTAACTATGGTGCTGCAGTGTGAGCTGGAGGTTTGTTTCTGGTAACCCCCACCCTGTGTCAAGGTCAGGAAAAGGCCCCTGGCTGATCTACTGAGACATTATCGTGAAGACACACTTAAGAAGCAAAGGTACCTGCAAATGGAGTAGGGACAGAGGGACAGTGTGGGAGTAGGCCTGTCCACACCAAGTACAGAGCGGACTCTGCACATCAGTGTGTATCGTCTGTCTAGATAATGGAGACCCGCCTTCTTCAGGGGCATATTTGGAAGCTGCGGACACGTCTGACCTAGTTTACTCCCCTTTTGAGGAAAGTGCTCTGATGCAGAGGCCATGGCGGCTGACCGGCCCCACCTCTCCCACTGCCAGCTCCTACACTCTGCAGGAGGTTTTCTGACTGTTCTTCTCAGTCTCATGCCTTTCAGAATCCATTCATCCATCCCAGCCTCCACACCACTTCAGATGAAAAAACCTAAAGGCCAGGGTGGCTCTCCTCTAGCAAAGCAGAGGAATTTTGTGTATCTTTATACTAATCCCTACATACCTCCAATGCGCAGAGCTTTCTTGTTTGTTTTGCTTTGTAGTGGGTTGAACCCTGGGCTCTGCACATACCACCCGAGCACTCTGCTGCTGAGCCACATCCCCCAGGCCTCAAGACCGATTTAATGCCTCCCATTCCTACTGAAATAAGCCCTGCTACTACCCAAGATGGTGGTTTTCAGCGTCCTTGTCTTCCGCCCCCCACGTCTGCAGCAGCCCTCCTAACGTGCCCCATGTGTTTGTTTCCCATACTCAAGGGTGCTGTCCTTGGAATGCTCAGCTGCCTGATTGCAGGGCCCACCTTTCAAGACCCAGGCACTTCTTCAAGTCTCTCCCCTTTAACCCCTTACACACAGCCTGTTCAGGCTCTCAACATTTGGGTCATGTTAGCGGGATTCCCCTTGGTCACTCTCTGGCTTACAGTAACAGTATGTTTCAGCTATCATCCAGTTTTCTTTACTGTCCTGAGGTCTATTTGGAGGGCTACCCCAAGTCTCTGTGCAACCCTCTTGCTGGATGGGCAGTAGCAAGCATTCCGTCTACTCTTGTTCTCTGAGCCACATTCCCCAGTGATCTTACCACAGTGTGGCAAGGGCTGTATATTCACAGGAGAGTGACTCCTTGGGGGTGACTGTTGAGCCAAGTCTCTCTCCTTCCCTAGCCTCAAGGGTACTTGACCGGCTTCTCCCCTCTGTCCTGCTGGAAGGGGAGCTGCAGGAAGTAGACCCCTCCCACTGTGAAGAGTGGTAAGTGGCCTGCCTGGGCACTCACCGCTGCCAAGCCGCAGGAGCAGCACATCTTGGAGTCTCCTGTTGAGGTCTCGGAGCTCCTTCATTTCAGACACCAGTGCCCCGTACTCCTTGAGCTTCTTGGCCTGCTGCACGAGCTGCCTCCGAGTCCGCTCCAGCTCCTGCTGGAGGTGACGCATCTCCTCCTGTTGCTGCTGGTAGTTTCGCAGCAGCTCCTCATACAGAGCCCGGGGCACAACGGCATCCTCCAGGCTGTCCATGTCCTCTGTGCCCGGGGAGGCCTCCACAAAGACCTCTTCCGGACAAGTGTTGTGACCCAGGCTCAGGCCGTTCTGTTTCTCTAGCCGGGCCACCACTGCCTCGATACTCTTGTGGGCCGCTTCACTAGGCTTCCGCCCCTCCGGTCTCTGTGTAGGACAACGAGAATCAGTTCAGGCAAGGGCAGCTGGGACTTTCTTGGACTGCAGCTCAATATTTCCCCAGACAATCCTAGAATCACAGAACCACAGAACATCAGTGTGTTGAGAAACCGGTTACAGACACAGTCATTTTGCAAATAGGGAAAGAGAGGCTCGGAGTGCTCTTGCCAAATGTCATACAAGCAGGGGGTGGCAGAACCAGGTCATTCTTCTCGTGCTAAGACTTCACCATTTCCATCCTAGCACTTGGCCTCTTGGACACACATATCTGGAAGAGTCTTCTAAATTTTCCAGCCCTCCCTAGCCTCCATGGTGCCTGGGCAGTCACTTGATGGGAGTGTTCGGTATGGATTTCCAAAGGATTGGGAGCCAATCTGGCCTGCCCAAATCAGTCCAGAGGAATCCCACTCAAAAACATACATATGCAAGTAGTTCTCTCTTGTAACCTTTTTAAGACTGTTTCAGTTTGGAAGGACGTCAAAACCCAAACCCACTCGAATCTAGGGCAGTACATATGTCGTGTTTTCTCTGGTTCTGTACTGCCTACTCACTCAGGACTGGCAGTTGGCAGGAGCCTAACAAATGTTTACTCAACTGAAAACTTCAAAGAACGCTAACATTGGGGTGCTTTCAGATTTCTTCATGTTGCAGGTAAGCCAACCAAGCTCCCGAGACAGGAAGAATCATCCCAAGGGTGGCATGGGAAGTTACATGCTACAGAGTCAGAAGCAGAATCTGGAGCCCAACTTCCCCACACGGAGTCTCCCTCTCACAGCTGCCAGCCTCTCCCTCCGCAGGACAGCACAGGGCAAGGAAGACTCATTCATAAGAGAATGATCCACCGCCACCAAGGGGCTGAGGCAAGTTCAGCTCAAGTGGACAAAGCTCACACTGAGGGCGGCAGGAGAGCAGAATGGTTGTTGAGTCTTCACCTAGGGTTGAAGGGTCATGAGCTCTCTCCCAGGGGTACAGACAAACAGAGCACACAAGATTCTGCACAACTTAACTATCACGGGCCAGGTCTGACTCAGCTTTCCAGTTTCAGGAAATTAAAGGCAATGAAAATGAGGTAAACTCATGACTTAACATTAAGTAACATTGCAATGTCCTGGCCATTTTATTTGCTGAGATAATGAATAGATGAATGTACCTGCTTAAATTGTAATGACTACCTTAAACATCTGTCTATGTCACGGTACTGTGAGAACCTGAGGTACAGGGACCACATGGCTACACTTGATGACCCTAGGGCCAGCACTGGGCCAGACCCACAGCAGGGGAGTAATGGATGTCATGCAGTGGACTGGCTGCATCTTTTGGACCACACTCTCGGGATGTTCTTGACCTTGTGTCCCAAATGAGATCACAAAGCAGAAGTTACCTTTCATTTCCTCCCTCTTCCTTTCTCTGGGATACTCACAGAACAGGGTAAGGCAGCAGAGAGCTAGACCTCTGAACAAGATTTTCAGCAGGGTTTTTTGTTTGTTTGTTTGCTTGCTTGCTCTCATACAGTGAGAGACCAGCTGGGACACATAACAAGGAAACGCAACCTCATGAAAGGTTTTTCACCAACCCAGGATCCCATAAGTGCCCTCTGTGAATTTTACCAATATCTTTCCGCAGCAAGTGCACCCTCAGAAATTTGGGACAACGTCAAGGTGACTCGCTCTAAACTGCTACCCCAAACCAACAGCCGCTTAGTGTCCATGTGAGTCAGCAGCGACCTCTCCAGCGTTGTGTGCCAGGGAAAAGCATGCTGTCCTACCTCTTCAGCAGTCATGACACTGCACACACTGTCACAGGACTGTGCCTGCTGGTACAGTCTAAATGAGAACTCTCGGAATAGTAGGCCTTGGGGAAAATGCAGTTGCTGTCTCAAGCATCCTCTACCCACACCCCCAAAAAAGCCTAAACAAAAGAATGCCCATGGCCTATGATGCCAGGGGACAGTAATATGGGGAAGAGGCCAGACTGGAATTCTCTGGCTCTGAGAAGTATGACGTCACTCCCATGAACATTCAAGAACAGCAAAGATTTTGTTACCTTGATGTGTCTAAGCTGTATGTCTTCTCCCCCGTAGTCTTTAACCTCCCCATCGTCTTCCAGGTGACTGAGAGAAAGTTTGGGGATTTTTATTTTCTTCTGCATCACACTGTTCTCAAGATCAGATTTGTCTTCTACAATGCATATCAAGAGAACAAAGTTGATTATGAGTCAAAATGCTCAAAAAGTCCAAAACTTCAAATTCTAGAAAATAAATGAGGCCAAACCAGCTAAAAAGGAAAAGCAGATAAACCCAGGCCTACTGTGACCTGAGCAGGGAGCTTCTGAAGGTGGCATACAGCATCTAGGGTACACAACCAACAACATACAAAGTACTGAAGCAGCACCCAAGTGAGTCTGCATAGGGGTTTCGGCATATCCATCTAAAAGGTTGCCTTTTATGGAATTCAAGAATCCTGGAGCTGGAATAGCCCCTAGATTGCCATCGGGTGTGGTGGTTTGAACAAGAATGGCCCCCCATAGGCTCATGCTTGTATACTCATCTCCAGTTGGTAGAATTGTTTAGGGAGGATTAGGAGGTGTGACTGGCTGGGAGAGGCGTGTATCTGGGATGGGATCTGAGGTTTTAAAAACCTGTAGCATTCCCAATTGACTTCTCTGTGAAAGAAAGAATTTAAGTTCTCGGCTTATAAATTGCTTTGGTCATGGTATTTTTGTCACAGCAATAGAAAAGCAACTAAGATTCCTGGTCTGAACTTGACTGACACGTGAATCTCTCAATATTCAAGACGTACTTGGTGTAGACCAAGTATCTCCTCAAGAAAACTTGGTTTCTGTTGCTTGAGAATAAAAAGACAAAGAGGAGTGGCAGCCCTTCTTAAGGCGACACCTACACTGTAAGGGCATAGCCAGGCTGAGGAAAAGAAGGTATGTTTCCTCCTCGACAGCACAAATGTGAGAAGGCAGAGTCTAATGGGCCCTGGTGAGTGACTGCTCCGACTCTCACTTCAGAGATGAGAGAACTCAAACCCAGGGGAAGGCAGAGGCTGGCCCAAAGTGTGAGTGTGAGGAAGAGCTGGGAGTGAGAAATGGCTCTGGTGTCTTGTCCTGTGTTTTTGTGTGCTCATAAGATGTCCTGAAGAGTTCATACAAACATGTTATTGGTCCTCATTTCCTCGCTGTTTAACCTAATCTCACAGAATAACAGAGTATTGTTTTTTTTCCCATGCAAAATTCAAAATGTTCTTTACTAATCTGTCTATCACAGTGGAAGCTAGAAGTTCAAACAGAAAAGTTGTAGAGGTAGAAATATGAGTCTACTCTGAAAATGGCCCTTAGTAGTAAAACAGTTTGTTTTCTGGGATGGGATTGAAACTCTGGAAATTCCTGTTTCTTCCATTCCCCAAAGGTCCCCACTATATATCTTAAATCCATTCTCTAGTGTGCTGCTGCCCATGTGGCATGTGGCTGGGAGCCGGCTCTACACAATGTCCTGGTATCTTTGTGTGTGTGTGTGTGTGTGTGTGTGTGTGTGTGTGTGTGTACACGCATATGTGCAAATGTTAAACAAGCCTTCATGTCTCTTCCAGGTCAGGCTTCTCTCCTCAAAACTTGTTAGTAAAACGGAGAAGGATGCGGATGCTTATAAGCCAGTAACCATGCCAGGATGCACTCAAATGCAATCTTCTCAAATCCAGCTTCAGCAGTCAGAGGTGGGACCCCTGTATCAAAAAAGCTCTGAGTGAGCCCCAGTTTCTCCAAGACAGGAGGAAGAGATGAGCAAAGACCCAGGCTAGCTGAGCTCAGGCCTCTATGACAGTGCTTCAGAGTACTCTTCAAACTGTGCCTGGCACGCTGGGTACTCCGGGAGTAGAATATTATGCTTCCTATTACCAGTGTGCCTGAATCACTTTATTTCCATAAGCAGAAAGTGGATAAATATTAAATTTAAAGAAAGAAAGAAATGACAGGCAGTATATGAAGCACAAAGGAAGAGCCCAGGAAAAAGATGTTAATAGCTCCTGCTGGGAAAGGCCCTTTCCGCTAGGGTAGAGGACTCATCCGTGGTTCTGCTTTCACAAGAATGACCTGTTCTTGTTCTCTTTGTGTCTATAAAACTCATCCAGCAGGTTAGGCATCAACAGTAGAGGGTACCTGGGCATTTATAAAAGAACAATATCTTCCCTTTACAAATCAATGCTGAATCTTTCTACGGCAACAAGCCTGCTGAAATGTGAAAACTCAAGAGAGTGCTTCAGATGAAATTATCTTGGCATAGGGTGCTTGTGCACACATACACACAGGGCAGTGGGGAGGAAGAGAGGGAGGGGAAAAGAGAAGAGGAAGAGGAGTAGTGGAGAGATGGGAGGGAGGGAGGGGAAATGGAGGGAGGGAGGGAAGGAGGGAGGGAGGGAGAGAGAGAGAGAGAGAGAGAGAGAGAGAGAGAGAGAGAGAGAGAGAAACGCCAAAGAGATGCTTCTTCCGTAGTCTGGGCAGGACTGGGGGGAATAGGCTTCCTTCTTCCCAGAATACTCCTATTCTCATCGCCCCGCCTCTACTTCCTGTCTGGTTGACCTGCCTATACTTCCTGCTTGGGCAATTAGCATTTATTTAGAACATGATTGACAGAATACAGACAATTCTCCCACACCAGGGATGGGTGACAGACAGGAGTGCTCTTCACTTGATGACAACAATGACTGGAGGCCCCACCCCTAGACACACACAGGCTCCATGGTCTTTCATACCCTCCTCCTCCTTGGGTGTTTCTCAAACTCTGTTCAGCCTCCATTCATCTCTTCCTTCCTCCTCTGAGATCTCATTCCACACTGTCTATACTGTGTTTACTATACTCTATTATCCTACTATGCTCCAATTGCCTGCTTAGAAGCTTCTCTGACACCTGAGTAACCCCATAGGATAGAACTGGCCACACAATGGAGACTCATCAAAAAAAAATTAATACAATAATAATAATGATGATAATAAATGCAGGCTCTGCCAGTAATGCATGAATGGATACTCAGCACCAAAATCACTGGGTGACTGTGAATCAAAATTGTGATACTCCATTGTATACTGAGAATGTCTACAAACAGAAAACGAGGTGGGGGTTGGCAAGTGTTAGGGATGATATGGAGAAACCAGTGAGATTGTCAAAGGAGACAGCAGCTTTCCAAACAATTTAGCAGTTGCTCGAAGAGTTAAACACAGAATCACTGTATGACCCAGCAACTGCATTTCTAGATGCATACTCAAGAGAAGAAAAGCAGGTCTACCTAGAAACTTGTGTATCAGCATTCATAGAAACAATATTCATAATAGCCAAAAAGCTAAAACAACACAAATGTCAATCAACTTACGGAGGGATCAAGTTTCATGCATTTTGCATACCTTCATACAAAAGGGTACTATTCACCATAAAAAAAAAATGACATACTAGTTGAAGGTACATATGGATGAGTCTTAAAAACATTAAACTAAGCTAAAGACTCAGACACAAATGTCATGTACTTTATAATCCTATTTCTATTATTGGAATAATAATTATTATTCAGAATAGGAAAATTCAGAAACAATAAGTTGGTGGTTGCCAAGAGCAGGGGGAAACTGGCCAATAGGAGTGATGATGATTTTGGGGATTGGGAGATTATGAAAATGCTTCAGAAGTATATAGTGAATTTTACACACTTTAAAAGTAGTTTAAAGGACCTGGGGAGATGACTCCGGCCAAGAGCACTGGCTGCTCTTCTAGAGGACCTCAATTGGGCTCCAAGCACCCACGTGGCAGCTCACAACTGTCTGTGACTCCAGTTCAAAGGGATCTGATGCCCTCTTCTGGCCTCTGTGGGCTCCTGCAGGCACATGGTGCACATGCATATAGCAGGCAATACTCTCTCTTACACATGAAAGGAAAAGAAACCTACTAAACAATAATTAAAATAGTGAATTTTGTGTTGACTTAAAAAATAAAACACTTCAATTCACGGAGGGTTACCTTGCTCAGGCTAGATACAGAGGAGAGGGCCTTGGTCCTGCCTCAAGTGATGTGACAGACTTTGTGGACTCCCCATGGGAAGACTCTCCCTCTCAGAGGAGTGGATGAGGAGGCAACTGGGATTGGTATGTATAAGATTGTTTTAAAATTAAAACATAATGCGATACTGGCCATGGTGGTACACGTTTGCAATCTCAGCACTCTGGGAGGGGAAGGCAGGAAGATCTTGCCGTTCAGTTCCAGCCTGGGCTATATAGGAAGTTTTGGACTTGCTTGAACTGCCAAATGAGACTCTCGTCGCAAAAACACAGAAACGATGTGGAATGTCTACTACATACAATACAAACAACACTGCTCAGCAACTCTGCAAATAAGCATTATTCATTACTTCTTTTGCTTTTCAAAAAGAAAAGATAAAAGAAAAAAAGAATCTCACATAAAACCTCTCCCTAAACTCACCTAGCAGCAAAGGTGCAGAGCCAGGATGTGATACAGATCTCCTGTGATCCAGATCTTCTGCCCCACAAGGTAAATTGCATCATCTCCCAGTACATGCATGGAACACACAGAAGCCATGGTGGCTCACGATGGATGGTTGATTGAATGACTAAACGATGGATATACAGATAAACGATGGATATCCCAACTCCCTGGCCTGAAGCTGAGCGCAGGAAGCCGCACTACTCCTGCTCCCATCTTTAGGAATCTACAGAAAGCAGCAGCCACTGTAGTATGTGTAATACGGCACAACATAAACAGTGTTATCCAGGTCAGGGGCCTTGGCTAGGTTCTTTGGAAAGCAGCCTGAGCAGTCCACAAAGTTCTGAAGTAACAGGAGTTCACCAAAGGGACAGAAACTTTAAATCACATACAGTGAGCTGGATCCTTAGTTGCCTCAATTACAGGCCAAGGGGATCTTGACATTCCTCTGGAAGCCAACCAGCACGTGGCCGCCGTTTCTCTTTAGCTTCCTCTTTCATCCACACTCCCTGGATATGAGGGTTATGAAGACCTGAAGCCTATGTTCATCCTTTTCTCTAGGCAGTGAGCACATACTGAGCCCATGTGCATCCAAACACTAAGCTAGGTGGTTTGGGGGTTAGAGGTACGTACAAGCCCAGTATGGTATGTGCCAAGAAACACAACCAGAATGCAAGGCCTGACTTCCCAAGAGATGCTAGTTTACCAAAGGCTCTCCAAGCCTTTCTCATCCTACTTCTGGGTTGAAGGTGGACTAATGCTAGCCATATCTAACCCATAGATGATTCGACAGAGTCAGCACAAAAGCAGAAGACATGGTTAGGAGAGGGAAGTCAGCGAACTAATAAAAAACAGCCTTAGCATTTGAATCAGGTGGGGCCTGGGCCAGAATTCTGCCTTTGCTACAAACTATGCGAGGGAACTTAGGCAAGCTCCTTAACTGGTCCAAGCCTCAGATGAAAACTGCTTTCTAAGGAGACGGTGCATGTAAAGTCCCTGGCAAAGCAAAGGTCCTTACCATGATATTCAATAAATAGCAGCTGTTAGGCCACGCTTGTGGGTTATGTGTTTGGCTTCTGGTCCCATGGCAAAGAGGGCCACTGCAAGTATCTGACACAGATTGAGACATGATGAAAGAGATGGTTTAAGAAGATTTATGTGGCAGTGCCAAGCAAGACGGATGGGGCATGTGGATGAGCCCCAACATGGAGTGACAAGAAGCTATAACTCTTGACCAGTCACATTAATGAAGGTGAATGGTGGTGTGGATCCCCGTAGACAGCAAATCTGTCATGCAGCGTTTAAATGTGTCTTTGGAATGCGATTCTGGTTTTGACTTCCAGGAAACCACCCAAGGAAAACAGGAGCTGACCAGAAAGAACGGAGACAAGAGATGGCTCTCTAGCCAACCTGCCTTCCCGATTTTACCAAGTTTAGAGGCAAACAGTTAGTTTTGTGTATATAGAAATAAGTGTGCATCCTCGGGAGAGGTACCATCACTATCCTGCTCCTCTAATTCTGACAAGGAAGACGACCATCGGCTTGAGCATCTCCACCCTCTCCTTTCTTCTATGATGTCAGCAACTGATTTTACACTTTCAATAAATCCTGAACAAGTACCTACTGTGTGCCAAGTCTAGTGTCAGATCCTTTACATCAGTACATCTAATCCGGCAGCAAATTACTGAAGTAAGAACTATAGGTGTAAGAAGTGAAGTGGCTTCCCTAAGATATAAGTGACAGGGAGGATTTCATTCCACTCTGTTTGACACCTGGGCCCTGTTCCTGTCACCTAATTGTACCTATTGAAATAAGAGAAAAATTAGCTTTATGAACTGAACTGAAAGAACATATACAATAGCAGTATACTGATAAAAAAAAAACTTCCAAGGTATTTGTCTTTCTTTTGACTCTGCCTACACTTTAGAAGACTTCTCTGATGGGTTCCCAGACTGAGATGCACACTATATAAATCCCTGCACTATAAAATTTATTTAAGGCTGCCTAACTCTTTTTCTGTCTGTGTGTGTGCATGTATGTGTGTGTGTGTGTGTGTGTGTGTGTGTGTGTGTGGTTTTAAAATGTGTTTTTCAAGAATATAGCAAAACTTGCTATTTGTTATTAACATGGGGAGAAATGGAGGCACAGGAAAAAAAGCCAACGGTGTTCTTGAAGTATCAGACAGGTGAATAGAAAACCCAGGGCAAATCTGTCTTCAGACCCTTAAAGATCAGAGGATTCTGGGTTAAAAGGGGGAGCAAAGCTGTCCTACCTCCCACTGTACATGGCATCATCCTGGATAATTAAAATAATCTAGAGTCAGAGAGCTGAGCTTGGTGTGAGTTTGCCAGTTAGAATAAAATGCTAAATTCTGGAGGGCTAAACACAAAATGTTTAGCAAAGGTTTTGTCTTGTTTTATACATATCTATATGCAAGCTTCAAGTTTTTTATCCTCACAAAAGAAAATCCTGTGAAGCTTGTGTTTGCATTAAAAACAGATATACCACAGAGAGACAAGCATGCTGCATTCTCCAGCCTATGGTGTTTATTTTTATAAAATACAAAGCAGATAGAATTCTCAAGTTTCAAGGATTTTATCCAGCCAAGACAACAAAAAGAAGGGTGCCCTGCTGTGGAGTGGCAGAGGCAAGCGGGGGGGTGCTGGCCCAAAGCCTGGCTCTTACAGGCCCGCTGGGTGACCTGGCTTCCCTTAACTTCCTTTCGGTAGAACACAGAGACAGAACTGGAAACCCTCAACAGGTCCTTCAGTGTCCCAGGTCTCTCTCTTATCTGACAGGGCGGGCAGTCAGGCAAGAGATCACCTCTAAGATTCCTCCAAGTGGGGCTGTTAGAAAAAATGCTCTTCAGAGGCCTTGTACCTACAGGGAGAAGAAACTGCCAGGCATGGGTGGGAGGCCTCCGTGCTTGCATGCCCACCTCCTTGCTGTCCCTGGAACAGAGCTGGGACACAGACGAGAACAGGAATGCCATCCTGCTGGGTCATTTGTCTTAACCGTCCTCACGTGTTTTACCAGAAGTGTTGCTAAGGAAATGAATGAATGGCCCCACAGAAGAGTCACAGGTCAGCAAGACACAGGAAAACGGTGAGTCCCCCGTGGTTAGGTCTAGTCCCAGGAGGACTTAAGACACAGTTGCGTCCTACATTTAACATGCATTTGCTCCTCTCCACAAAGGGCGATGCCTGTGACTCACCTGACTCTTCTTCAGTGGTTAGTCCACAAATGGGTAGACCCTAATAGCTGTCACTATTAGAAAGTCTGTACTGTATATCAGGGACTTGTCCCTGTTTCAGACAAGCACCTAATGCTCAGAGAAGTCGAGCATTTCTCTGCCGTCACACAGCTCATAAGTAGTGGTCACAGTTTGAACCCGCACTGTCTTTAAAGTCCGTCCTTTGAGTTTTCACACTTCCACCTCCGTACACGAGCATGTGACCTCCAGGCTGCCTAACCTTCCTCTATGCTGAGACAAGCTTCCTTTCTCAAATATCCCTGACTTGCTTCCACCTCCCACAACGGGGCAGGCACTCAGTCCCATGCCGGAGGCTATGATGCCTCTGCCCTCCGTTTCTAATCCATTGCTCACAATGAGCTCTTGAATTCCAGCCCCTGTCCCCAGTTCTACCTCTGGGATCCCCCGAAACAAGCCTGATCTTTCCTCTATGGTGTAAAACTCAGAAACCAAAAAAGTACAAAAATACCGTTCCATGCAAATCTTCTCTTGTGCATGTATATTTAGCTTTCCTGTCGTCTGTCTCACCAGTGAGCTCTGGGGAGGGGCAGTTGTTGCACAGTGAAATGAAACAAAAGTCGGCCAAGACCTGTGGTGCTAAGACCTCTCTCCTCATTTGGTGTCTTAGGACCCCCCTTAATCCTTGCTTCTCAGTCTAGCTCTGGCTGGTCTTTCCCAGTCACCTTTTATGGTTTGTCTCTTCAACAGTGCCCTTAAAAGCTGGTGTTCTGGAGAGTTCTGCCCGTACGTGCTTCTCTCCCCTCTGTCTTCACCCACGGTGACATCAGCCCTCTCATGGCTGATTACTTCCAAATCAGGACCTTTAGCCTGACATACTCTTCAGAACTTTGGGTTACCCACTCTGACATCCCACTCTACATGTTCAACGACACCCTAACAGTCTACAGAGCTCACACAACATTCATCATCTCCCCTTCCAACCTGCTACTGTTCAAGAGTGACCTCTGAGGACGGAGGGTCCAGATCACCGTCTCTTGTCAAATCGCATCCCACAGCATCACAAACAGGCAACTACCAAGTCTCAAGGAGTTTCATTTTCATGTGTGTGTGTGTGTGTGTGTGTGTGTTTGGTTTTCTGTTTTTGTGACAAGGTCTTGCTGTACATGTAACCTAGGCTGGCCTATTATTTATGAACTTGCCTCAGCTTCTTAAGGGCTGACATTGCAGTCCTGACAGGTGGGAGAATATAGTCCACTGTCTGGAACCTCTAGCGCTTACTAAACGGGTGCTTGAGTAGCTTCCTCCAGCTCTATTTGGAACAGATACGCATGCGTGGAACCTGGAATCTGGTGCTTACTGAGATCTTTAGCCAGACAATACCAACCCCTGTTCTTCCTGCATTACCTCCCAGCATTTAGCTAGACCACCTGCTAGAACTCAGACCCCGTAGAACTCAGGTGGGCCAAGGAAACCTCAGGTTATATGATTTTCTGGTAACAAGGGTACACACAGCTTCTGTGTCTGAAGAGCTTAGACAAAGGTACACAGGCAAGAAAATTTCTTCCTAGAGAAAAGACATCAAATTGAACTCTACTTTTTTTGGATATTTTTAAATGTAAAAGTTAAAGTGCTCTTGAACAAATTAACACACACACGTCCACGCCCCAAAAAACAAACCAAAAAAAAAAAAAAACCCAACCAAATAAACAAAAATAAAACCTTCAACTTGCCTGGGACTTCTTTCAGCCTATTAACCAGGACCCTGAAGCACTCTTCAGCACACATTATTTAGATGCAACAAATGTGTGGTTCTTGAGCACTAAAGTTCACATCAGATTTAACCGTCAGTGATTAACATTCCAGTAGAATCTGCAACAAATGACAGCAGGCAAGTCCCAGTCTTTGCTCCAGTGTGTATCAGTGGAACATGTCAAAACCTAAATTAAAAGTTTTCACTTGCTTAGTTTAAGAAAAAAAAAAGCAATCCCTTAGTTGGCATGCTCCCACTGATGACATGCAACAATCTCTGCATGTGAGATTGGCTAGTCCCCTGCTTCGCTGTGAGCTCTGTAGAAGTTCCAAAGCATTTCTGGAGCAAGTGATCTATTTGGACTGACAGTGCCAAGCTGGGACCTGAGCCCTGAATGAGCTAAAATTACCAAAGCGAGAAGAACGTGGCTTTGGGACTTATTTTCCCCAAGTGTGGGGTTTCTTCTACTTGAGGGAGTGATAAAGAATGTTGACTTTTTCCAGATGAATAAAATTGAATGAAACCTCAAAAGCCCGTTGCAGGTTTCTGTTCTAAAAACAAAACAAAACCAAGTGTGGTAGAGGTGCATGTCTCCTGTCTCTTATCTTCCAACCAAAAAGCATTTACTTTACAAACTACAGGAGCGGCACAGCCCGGCCCAGGTGGATGTGCAGCGCTGGCCAGCAGGCCCCTGCTCTGGAGAAGTTCGCTATCTGGCAGCAACACCGACTAACCAAAACAGTCTTCAGCTGCTTCAAGTCAAAAGCCGGCAGCAAGCACAGTACAAAGCGGGCTGAGGAGGGAGAGTCTCCCTTGTGGGAAGAGGCAGAACAGGCAATGCCCTAAAGACTAGGCGCTTTCAGTGTACTTTCCCCACTCTCTCTTACAGCTGTACCAACAATGGGTCCCGAGTCTGTTTTCCCCCAAGGAAGGTAAACTCCACTTAAACAGAGGGTTCAAGTCAAACAAAGATGACTCTGCAGTGGCAGACCCGGGAGTATGTGTCTACAAAGTAGCAAGAGATACCTCAAGTCCAGGGCAAGTAGGGTTGGGGGGCTGGAGGGTGAGACTGAAGAAGTGGAGCTGGGCTGGCCTATGGGGACACGAATGTCAGGCCAAGAAGCTGAAGCTCTATCAAGCAGGCCATAGGGGAGCTCCAGAAGGTTCTGAGCAGAGCAGTCAATTGATAAGACAGTGGTTTAGAACATTCTGAATGCAGTCTAGACAGTGGCCTGGACACTGGGTAATGAATTAGCAGTCTGCTGCAGGCTTCAGAAGAGTGAGAGCCTAGGCAAGACTGAAAGCAGCCAGTGCTTGTAGATCTAGAAAAGAAAACTCCAAACTCTCCTAGAATTGGTTCCTTCGATATGCTCGCTGGGGCCTGGTTTCAACCTCTGCTTAACACTTCCTACACACTCCCTGAGGACAGTGTTTGTGTCTTCATCACTCTGCCCCCTCCACAGAAGTCCCATGCGGCTGGGCCTAAAAAGACTGTCTTCTATGGATCATGCCATCATTGTGATCCTGGTGCCTTGGTGTAGCCACGCAGTACTGCACTGGGTCTGGCTTGTAACAAACAGGAAGGCCACACTTGACTACAAAGGGAATTTAGGGCAGTCAAGTCAACACAGTATAGAGATGCCCAGGAAAAATGACAGAATTGTCAGGCTACAAAAGCCTACAGGAACCAGTTGGAGTCTCTAAACCCCATAAGCAGGCTGGATTGCAACTAGACAATAGCCAGGGCTTTGCAGGGGAAGTTCTCAATTTCACAGGCTGCATGGCAAAGAAATGCAAGTAAGAAGAGAACACAGCTCACAGGGGAGTCAACCCCTGAATTAGCCTGTCCCTCCAGGAGCTCCTGGGAGAGGATTTTGTCAATGAGATGACAACTGAGAGCCTGTGGAAGTTTTCGATTCCTGGAGAAAGGAGACTGGTTGGGTAATAGAGGAAGAAGAGCATAGTGAGTGTGAATGCTCAAAACTCTGTTCTCTCCAGCTGGAAAACCTGCCTGGGGCTACCCATTTCATCAACATTTTCCCTTCCCTTTGGCCTCTTCCATGTCATGTTGTATTGGTTCATCAGCCACCTCACAAAGGAGATTGCCAAGCAGGGACAGGCACTAGAAGATCCGGGCTGTAGTTTTGGCTTTGCCATTTATTTGTATGTGGCGGCAGGGAGTTCTCTGAGCTTCAGTGTTCTCATCTATAAAATGGAAACAAGAACTACGGCAATATCTATGAATGGGTGCTAGACCAAATAACGAGCAGCCACACAGCAAGACTGTCACCAAAGTGTAGGGGAAGGCTTTGATTTTTTTTTTTACTAGGGGTGGAAATGTAGTTTGGTACAAAGGAAGCCATGCGCTAAATGTTGACACACTGAAACCACGGCATAAGCTACTGTGGGTGGCAAAGTACAAAGTACCCTAGCGGCTGGCTGGACATTTCCTGGGTTTACGGAAAGGGTTTACTTCAAGACAGTTACAGTGGTTGGCTGGGCAAACGTGTGGCAAAGTTAACTCACTTATCACCAAAAGCCATAAGTGGTTCTGAAGCTTCTTCTGATGCCACACTACTGAGGTCAGAACTAATTAATTAAGCAGGAGCAGTCCACAAAATGCAAAGTCACCTCTGTCTTCCTCTTGAGCAACTAACTCCCCCAAACTTGGCGCTGTAGTAGAACTTTGCTCCTATGAATTGCGAGGCTATAAAAGCCTACAGGAACCACTTTTGTGTGAGTTCCTAAGCCCCACGAGGAGGCTGACTGCATTTGGACAACAGCACGGTCTTTGCATGGGTCAGATGCGCTCTTCAGGTGAAGATACTTCAAGTAAGCTTCAGAGCCACCAAGCTCAACATACAAGGCAGAATCCTCCCAGGATACATGAATTCCCAAGTTCACACTGGCCCTTCCAATCAGGTCTGCACCAAGAACAACAGTTTCAGTTTAAAAAGTTAACCAGCTTACTGGAATTCAAAATGGAGTCTGGCCACCCTCAAGTTCCCACCCATCCCAGCCATGCACCCACCCACCTCTTTCCTACTGGAGATGAGAAGAAGCACTTTTTAACACAGTTTGCTGAAACTGGTACCACACTTACTCTGCCAAGTTTCTAGCCATTGCTTAGGTTTCTTAGGTATGGATGCATGTCTGTACATAATTTAATGTACCACTGCAACTTGTGTCGATTTGAAGAGAAGAGTTGGTAGAGTCTGTCATCTGCCTAACTAGTCTTTCTATAGTTCTTAAGAACTACATGTATCTATACTTGCTGAATGAATGGACAAATAGATACTTGAGTGGAGCTCAACAATCTCAAAAAAAAGGAAAGGACACCCATCCCATCCACTCTCCTGGGCTCTTTCAGATCTATGTGTGGCAGGATCATTAAGAAGCATGCTCTCTTTTCTTCAAGCAAAAGGGAAGCTAAGGTTACACCTAGTTATAATTATGAGGCTTATCAACTTGCTGAATAAATTCCTAATCCCTTCCTAGGTAATTAAAGGCAAGCAAGCAAACAAAACCTAATCAGTTATGAAGACTTCCGTTCTGAAAGCTGTCTCTCTCACTCATTTTTCCCCCTTGGACCTTGGTGTCTGGTGGGGTGAATGGACCTACAGCTCTGTGCCCCCCACCCCTGCGCAGGCCTGTCAGCGAAGTGGTTAAGGGCTTAACCTATCAAAAAGGGGACCTTGTAGTGCTGATGCATTCCAAATCTTTCACTCCTTCATTCCCATAAGCCCTACTTCCCAGAGGTATTAGAAAGGAATCAGCCACGAGGCTTAGTCCACTGACAGCTTGTACTGGGATCCTGGGCAAGTCACTATGATTTATGCTAGGCTCGTGTTTAGGCTAAAGGAGAGGGAACACCACGGAACTCTGGAAGAAGTAGGAAAAGTGTCAAACCACAAAACCCTGACAGTCTTCATTGGGCTCCTAACCTTGGGTTGTCTTCCAGGTGGAAGGTAACTGTCTCTGCTTACCCAAAGGTAGCAGCCCCTACACCGCTGCCCCTAGATGGAAGTGGTAAGCTCCTTTTTCCTGTTTGGTGTGCGCCCAAGCCTTCTACAAGTGTCTGGGAAAGAAGGTCAGCTTTGCTTGAAGTTATCTTTGCTTGAAGAGGGGCCACAGTACAGGAGGCTAAAAGGCTTGGCTTGCCCTGTCAACCAACCAAATCTCTGTATCTTTATCCATCCACTTAGAGACCAACTGCCAGTCTGTCTCCTTCCCCTCTCCCTGACCCCGTGTGATTAGGGTTAGGAGGCCAGGCCCTAACCTGAACTAGAAATTGTTTGCCCCTGTCTCTCTCTCTCTCTCTCTCAGGGAGCGTTCTGGGAGATGTAAAAAGGAGTGTGGAGGTAAGCTACCTTAGGACCCCCTTCCACTTGGCCAGTACACTGAGATTGGGCCTCCTGGGTCCTAAAGATGGCCCGGATGGGAGACGGTGTCAGAGATCCCTTCTGTGAGACAGGGTCCCCATCTAAAAGACCTAAAATTGCTTCTAGCTCCAAGAAGACACCAGTGGCCGTAAAGGGAGAGAGGAAGGAACAGTTTGAGAAACTTAAGGTGGAAAGCAACAGAGAGGAAAGCAGCTATGAGAGGCAGAGGTGAGAGATGGAGAAATGACAGTAGGGTAGGCAGCTAGTGGAAGGGAAAGTGAAGAGGCAAGTAGAATACAAAAGAGTCAGAAAGAAGAGGGCAGAGAAGGGAGGCTGACAGCCCGGTGCGGGAGTGTCAGGGAAGCAAGGAAGACAAAGGGGACCCTCGGGTCTTTTTAACTGGTCTGGCCTCTTAGAGACACCTGGTGCCCAAAAGAAAGCCCAAGGGGCAGGAAGGGGAGGCAAAAGCAAGCTGTGACTCCCCGGCCCCGGCCGCTCAGCCTCTCCCAGATCCAGCCCTAGTCCGCCCGGACCCGACGCCCCTCCCGGCCCGCTTGCTCACCTGCCAGAGCCAGGATCTGGGCCTTGTGGAGCAACAGCGTGCCCCAGTCCCGGGGGGCACGCGGGGGACTCTCGGGCTCCGCGCCCAGCTCCTCCGGGCCCCGGTACACTGCGTACACCTTCTGGTTGTCAAAATCCAGTCGCGAGCGGGGGCTGAAGTCGCGCACGCACGACACGGGCAGCGCGTAGCAGACGTTGTCCTCCAGGAACCGCACAAAGGCGTACATGGTGGGCGCCGGGGGCGGGCCCGGGCGCCGGTCAACCCGCGGGGCGGCGCGGAGGTGGGGATCCC